GCCCCCCCCCCCCCCCGTGGTGAAGCCCTCCGCTGCTGTGTTCCATCCATGCCACTCAGTGTGTGCATTCTTTTCTCTCTGGAAATGCCATTCACAGCTTGGCCAAGTCTCATACTGTGGTGACTTTTCCTTCTTGGATAACTTCGCAAGCGGCGTTAGGCATCACAAGTAGATTAATTTCCTTCCTCATTTTAGCAGTGTTTACTGAGAATGCATATGTGGCTTAATGAGATACCTAAACCATAAGTGTTCTATCTAACATTAGGCAAATTAGATAATTTGCATGATATCCGCCGGAGCCCTTTGGGAGATTTATCATCTATAGATTGAAGATGATTTGATTATTTAAAGAAAATTTTTTTCATATTGCAGATTAATATTACTGTGTTGTATTCAGAAATAATTCTGATTACTTTTCTGCCCTCCTGCTTCTTAAAGAATGATGCTTAGACACAGAATTCCTGTGGCAGCAGCTTACCGATTAATATACATGCCTGAGATCTGTGGAGTCCTTGCCTTGATATTTACTATTTATGATCACCGATCTCAGTGAAGCACTTGGCCTCTCTTTGCAGCCATTTACCTCTTCCCTGTCAACTTTCTGACATTTCCTTCGGTGCAGCTATATGATAGTGATGATAACGTTGCAGTTTCAATTTATTCAGTGCTCACTGTTTTTTTAGTGCATTATCTCCTTTTATCCTTAGTAATTCCTTAGATAGGCACTACTCTTACTCCAGGAAAACAAGACTCAGAAAGGTTGAAGGCCTTCCCTAAGGCGATAGCATGACAGGTAGGGAAAGACCGAGGCATTTATTCACACCTGCATCTAACTTCACTGGCCCAGGTCTCGTCCCTATGACTGTATACCTCTGCAACTGTTCTCTTCAAGCCCTCTGTCTTTCCCTCTGGCAATGACATTGGTATTTTACAGAGGAAATAGATGCCGGAAGGAGTCAACTCTCTTATCCACACCGATTCCCCATTCCTTACTTTTCTTAGTTCTTGAAAACCCTATAGTAAGAAGACCACAGGCTTAGGGACAAGTACATATTCTTCAACAAGCATGATCTTTGATTTCCATTTTTTCATTTGCCAAATGGGGATAGTAATGCCTACCTTCCTGCATTATCCCAAGTCTCAGAGCATGTCAGGTGCTCTTGAGCTCGGTGGTGTTGTGGGTATTATGGAGTCTGTGAGCATGTGTCTAGAGTACGCCATGGGCAATAAGTAAACATTATCGATTATTACCTATATTGTCTTTTTCTCCTTTCAAAGTTGATTTGATCAGCATATGCTGTACACTGGTGATGGTAGTCAATGTTGTACCCCCAAAATATGTATAATCAATTATGCATCAATTAAAAAAAAAAGAAAGGGATGGGGATGGTGGGGTGGAGAAAAATAGTCTTAGCTCAGAAAGCTCTGTATTTGTGTCAGAAATGTAGATTTGTATTTACTTGCTTACATATCTGTCACACGGGATGGGGATGGTGGGGTGGAGAAAAATAGTCTTAGCTCAGAAAGCTCTGTATTTGTGTCAAAAATGTAGATTTGTATTTACTTGCTTACATATCTGTCACACAGATAGACTGCAAACTCCTCAAGGGCAGGTCCTGGCATTTTGCTAGGAATTGCTGGAAAAATATTAACTTATATAATATACTGATTCTTCAGTCCTGCCTACTAACTTTCTTGGAATTTGGTGAGAATTTACTTTTTTGGAAAATGGAAATCTCCTAGACGATAGTAGCAATTTTTAACCATAGGCCTTTAATGGAGCAGCTGCCAGTGATTATTGAGATAAATTGAATAAAGCTTCTGCTTTGATCTTGTCTGTTGTGGTCACTGTCCCTCTATTTCTGTCAGAAGATTAGACTCATTGGACAGTCATGGATTGCTCAAAATAAAATAAAAGCCACCCAGTTTTACTTTTGTTTCATGAACCTTTGTTTTGTTTTTATTTTCTCTTTAGAAAAAAAAGACATCACTCAAAGCCTAGAGACATATACATCCAAGTGTCCTGGGACCATGGAGCTCATCACTCTCCCGGATGGCCTTACCCTGCCGCCAGTGCCCTTCACCAAGCTTCCCATCGTTAGGTAAGACAGGCCCTGCCAGACTTGGAGAAGTGGACGTTCCAGAACATTTTCCATTGGTCAGACCATGAATAGAGATCTCTAGAGGAGCTTCCTCCCCACCCCCCAAATCTATATGGTTGTTTTATTCAAAGATTTATATTTAAAAAACAGGGTGGAATGAAATTTGTGTATTCAACAATAAGGAAGAACCATTCAGAAGTGATTAAACAATCATAATTACATATATAATGTAGTATGTAAGTCGACTTTGCACCTTAGGAAACTAGAAAAGGAAGAGCAAACTAAGCCCAGCCCTAGCAAAAGGAATAAATAATAAAAATTAGAGCATAGATAAAAGAAATAGAAAATAGAAAAAAAAACCAAACAAACCAGAGAAAATCAGTGAAACCAAAAATTGGTACTTTGATGAGATCTACAGAATTGACAGACCTTTACCTAGATGGACTAGGAAAAAAAAGAGAGAAAGGCTCAAATAACTAAAATCAGAAATGAAAGAGGGGTCATTACAACCAAATTTATAGAAATCTTAAGGATATAAGAATACTATGAATAATTGTTGGTCAGTAAATTAGATCATCTAGATGAAATGAATAAATTCCTAGAAACATGCTACCTATCAAGACTGAATTATGAAAAAAACAGAAAGTTTGAACAGAACTATAGCTGGTAAGGTGAGTGATTATCAGATTCTGGTTTCCTGATGCAGGACTCCCTTGAGGATTTCTTGAAGGGCTGGTTGTGTGGTGGGGAACTCCCGCAGTTTTTGTTCATCTGGAAAATACACTATTTTTCCCTTGTTTCTGAAGACAGCCTTGCTGGGTACAGTATTCTTGACAGTCAGTTTTTTTACTTTTAATATTTTGAATATATCATCCCATTTTCTTCTGGCCTGTAGCATTTCTGTAGAGAAGTCTGCTGTTAGTCTGATAGGGGCTCCTTTATAGGTGACTTGATGCTTTTCTCTTGCTTCTTTTAAGATTCTTTGTCTTTGAGCTTTGCCAGTTTGACTATAATGTGTCTTGGAGAGGATCTTTTTGGGTTGAATCTGTTTGGGGATCTTTGAGCCTCCTGGGTTTGAAGGTGCATTTCTCTCCCCATACCTGGGAAATTTTTGGTTGTTATTTTGTTGAATAGGTTTTTCATGCCTTTTCCTTTCTCTTCCCCTTCTGGAACATTCATGATTTGAATGTTTGTGTGCTTAAGGTTGTCTGCTAGCTCTCTTAGATTTCCTTCATTTTTTAAAATTCTTTTTTTCTTTTTCTGTCTGCCTGGGTTATTTTGAAAAGACTGTCTTCAAAATTAGAATTTTTTTCTTCTGCTTGGTCTAACCTGCTGCTTAAACTGTCAGTTGTGTTTTTCATTTTGTCAAGTGAATCTTTCAGTTCCATGAGCTCTGCTACATTCTTTGTTCAGGTATTAATCTCTTTGTAATATTCCTCCTTCATATCCTGGATTTTTTTTCCTCATTTCATTATGTTGTCTGAGTCTTCTTATATCTCAATGAGTTTCCTTAAGATTGTTTTTTTGAATTCCTTTTCATTCATTTCAAGGGTTTCCTGCTCTATAGGGTCTGGTATTTGAGAATTACTGTATTTTTCTGGTGGTGTCATATTTTCTTGTTTATTCATATTTCTAGTATCTCCATGTTGATGTCTGTTGATTCTTTTGTTACTCTGGAGATGGCTTTGAGGAGAGAGATGATGTCTTTTTCTGGTCTCCACTCGTGACACTCTTTGTGTCAATGCAGTCAAGTGTTTCGTGGGCCGCTATCGCTATCCTCTCAGTGACAGAGACACAAGGATTACTAAGAGCCCAACTACTTGAAAGCAATGAGAAGCCCAGAGGGACTACACCAAGCTAACTCCCATAAGAAAGGAGAAAGTCAGTGCAGCCCCGAGCTCAGGCTTGTCTTGTCTTTTATTGTAGTATTAAGACCTCGGCCATGTAACAAGCTGAGTACAGTATCAAAAGAAGTACGGAAAGGAGTGTGTGAACAGGACAGAAAATGATCTGTGTTCCCTACTAATGAATCAGAACATCTTCGCTGTTCCAATGTGTGCTGTTTTCGGCACGCAATTATCTGATTCTGTGCACTTAAGGCTTTTGCCCTCTGTTCACTCCCTATGCTAAACAGGCCCCTGTGTTCCCACAGGCCACCTGCATGGTAGCTGTAGCTACTGTTGTGGCATCAAGCCGCTTTTGCGGCAGCCATGGAGGTGCTGGTGGCTGTGGTGGGCCATCCATGCAGAAGTAGTGTTTTCGTTGTGCTCCTTGCTTGCTTCTGGGCTGGAGCTGCTGCCCTTGGCTCCTGCCTAGGCCCCCTGGGCCTGCTCTGCTGCTTGCCTGCTTCCAGGTGGAGAGGGCAGCTGAGCTTCCATTTTTTGTTGGCCGTGTATCTGGCTCATTATTTCCTTAAATTTTGACAACAGGCCTAGGAAGTGTAAGTAAGAATTTTATAGATGAGAGAGGGCCAGTGACATTCCATAACCACCATGGTCATGTGTACCCAAATCCAGGTCTGCCTGTTTCCAAAGCTGCGTCATGACCACTAAGCTGTGATTGAAACCAGATTGAAACCTCATCACTCTTCTACTCACAGATGTTCAGCTGTTTTCCTCTCCTTAATCAGTGCCCCAGCAGCACAGGAAAGAGCTGGCTACTCTCACATGCCAGCCCTTTCCAGCTCATGCCTTGCCTCTGCCTGGAGTTCGTTTTCCTCTCCCCTACTCAATTTTGTCAAATGCTTGCTCATTCCATTAGACTCATTCCGAGCTCAGTTTCTAGGACATCTTGCCTGAGACTGCCTTTGTGTGAAGCGGTGCTCTGGGTTTCCATGGCGCCCACTGCTTACCTCTCTCATGGTGTCTGCCACTGCATGCGGTCCTGGAATTACCTTCCTATGCGACTGTCTCTCTTCACAGATTACAAGATTTTACAGAGCAGAGGCCCTTTGGCACCTGCAAAGTGGGTCCTTAAAAAAGGTTTATGAACTAGTCCCATGAACTGTTTTCTGAATTTCTGAAAGATTTGTTTGAAGACTAAAGAGAAGTAATTGAAATGTGACATGTTGCTGTCGAGTAGAAGTGCTGTAACCTTGAGAACACTCTTGGTCTGGCTGTCCTTTCCCAGGTTCCGCTCAGTGCTGTGATGCTGTGGGCAGCGCCCGTGCTTTGACTTAAAGGCCTGCTGCGTTACACAAATGTGTCACCTGACCTCCTGGGTGTCATGAGAATTCAGTGAAGTAACATGTGAAAGCATGTGGTACGATGCTTAATAAATGTTAGTTTTCTTTCTTCCTACATTTCCTAGAAGGCAAGTGCAGTACTGCCAAATGAAATATTTTTGTTGCCAAAATGAGAATTGTATGCTCCTGAGAAATGGGGACAAAAGGGTCGCTGTGCATGGAAGTCCCTGGCAGGAAACACTTGCACTTTAAGAAGGTGCTCTGAAGGTCACTAAAGAGGTCGTTGGTAAGACAGAGCTGGCAAGGGGCAGCATCCAGAAGCCTGGGCTGTAGCCCCAGAAGTTGCTGTGGCTGCTACTTGGAATGTTTTGGGAGAGACATGCAGCACCACTGCAAGGAGGTCCCTGAGGAGGGGCGTGGTCACCCTGTTGTGTGTGCTGCCGCCTCATCACTAATATTAACTGGGGGCGAAAGGGTCCTTTTTGGGCTTTTCTATGAGTAAGATTCAAAGTAGAATGTGTTTGATTTGGGATTAAGGGCATGATTCAGTTTTTAAAAATTAGAGACTAGAAAAGCCTTTCTTAATTTTTTATCTGCATCACGACTTGGATCATTCTTAAATTTAGAAAATCTTATATAATAGAACATTCTGAACTTCACAGAACATTCTGGGCTTTGGATGCTGTCTCTAGATCTCTAAGTGCTTAGGCCTTTTGTCAGTGAAGCTGGGGAGGAATGGTCCATCCAGGTCATTGGACCCAGGGAAGAAAAGTGCTTTGCTCCTCACAGGGACACCAGAAGAGAAACAGGCAGGGTCATGGAGGCAAGTCTGGAATTGAAGTTAGAGTCCGGGGGTTTACTTTTCACTGGCATGTGACCTTGGGCAAGGACATAGCCTCTTTGAGTTTTGTTTTCCTCATCTTTAAAATGATCCTCACAGGTTGTTGGGTTTTGTTTTAGTTGAGCTGATATATATAGAAGCACAGAGCACAGTGCCTGGCATATACTAAGCACTCAGTAAATCAATTTTCTTTCTTTTTTTTTTTTTGTCTTTTTTCATGTCCGGCAACGGACCGCAACCCTCAGTGTTGCTCCCACGCCTCGCTCAACCAGTGAGCGGGACCGGTCTGTAAGTGGGATCCAAACCCTCAGCGGGAGCGCCGCCGCGCTTCCCAAGCGGCGCACTGTAGCAGTGCGCCACCGGGCCGGCCCCTGTAAATCAATTTTCTTCTTGGAATCACTTTTATACATACATTTTCAAACAGTACATTGAAAAATATCATGATATTAACATTTTGATCCCTTAGCTGTTTAAAAACATTAGATAGAACAGATTGGGTAAAAGTACAATAGTCCAACATTTAGGCAAATGCTGTTTCATAAGTCTGCTGTGGACATCCTATTTTTTGGCTGATGTATCTCTTTTGCTGTGAGGGTCTCTGCAGCCTGGGTTGGAGAGCTCCCCTGTGAACAGCTAGCTAAGGCTTGCCTGCCATTTCTTTTGCCTGGTATGGTCATGGGCTATTTTTTAAAATCTGATTTTGTGTACTACCTACCATCTGTGTAAACATATTCTGTGTGGTTTTTGGAGACTTTTAGTTAGAGAAATAAGCCCTATTTGTCCTGGTGACTCATTCATTGCATCATTCGTACCTTGTCTCGTTAAAAACTGGAAAGAACTATCATAGGAGATTCAGTGCAGGACCCAGTGGATGCATTCTTTAGCCCACAGGAGCATTAGCACCATTGACAAAGTGAGGGGGCTCCTTTGGCAGGTTTCACAGCACCGCACAGCCTGTGCTGCCCCCACGGCCAT